AGAAGTACCATATGATCCAGCAATCCCACTCCTTGGAATATATCCTAGAGAAATAAGAGCCATCACATGAATAGATATATGCACACCCATGTTCATTGCAGCACTGTTCACAGTAGCAAAAAGATGGAAGGTGCCCATCAATGGACGAATGGATAAACAAATTATGGTATTCCATATTCCAAATAATGGAATACTATGCAACGATAAAGAACAACGATGAATCCAAGAAACATCACATAACATGGATGAATCTGGAAGACATTACGCTGAGTGAAATTAGTCAGTCACAAAAGGATAAGTATTGTATGAGACCACTATTACAAGACCTCAAGAAAAGGTTTAAACACAGAAGAAAACATTCTCTGATGGTTATGAGGGTGGGGAGGGAGGAAGAGGGGAATTCACTAACTAGATAGTAGACAAGAATTATCTTAGGTGAAGGAAAGGACAATACACAATACAGGTGGAAGTCAGCACCACTGTACTAAACCAAAAGCTAAGTAGTTTCCTGAACACAACCAAACACTTTGAGGGATAGTATAGCAGGGGTGGGGGTCCGGGGAGCATGGTTTCAGGGGACATCTAGGTCATTTGGCATAACAAAGTTTATTAAGAAAATGTTCTGCATCCCACTTTGGTGAGTGGTGTCTGGGGTCTTAAAAGCTAGTGAGTGGCCATCTAAGATGCATCCATCGGTCCCAACCCACCTGGAACAAAGGAGAATGAAGAACACCAAAGACACAAGGAAAACATTAGCCCAAGAGACAGAAAGGGCCACATAAATCAGACACTCCTTCAGCTTGAGACCAGAAGAACTAGATGGTGCCTGGCTACCACCAATGACCGCCCTGACAGGGAACACAACAGAGAGTCCCTGACAGAGCGGGAGAAAAGTGGGGTGCAGAACTCAAATTCTAGTTAAAAGACCAGACTTAATGGTCTGACTGAAACTGGAGGAATCCCAGAAGACATGGCCCCCGGACTCTCTGTTAACCCAGAACTAAAACCATTCCTGAAGTCAACTCTTCAGACAAAGAATAGACTGAACTATGGAACATAAAATGATACATGGGAAGAGTGTGCTTCTTAGTTCAATGAGACTAAATGGGCAGCTCCTGTCCAGAGGCAAGAAGAGAAAGCAGAAAGGGATAGGAGCTGGCTGAATGGACACAGGAAATCCGGAGTGGAAAGGAGGAATGTGCTGTCACATTATAGGGATAGCAACTAGGGTCACATAACAATGTGTGTATAAATTTTTGTATGAGAAACTAACTTGAGCTGTAAACTTACACCTAAAGCACAATTGAAAAAAAAAAAAGATGAAGAAAAGATAACTAGCTCCTGGGCTTGTTGGGAGGAACAAATGAAATATTTGGCAGAGTTGGAATCTGATAGATACTCAGTAAGTGCTAGTTCATTTCCTCCTGCCTTCTTCGTTGTCAAACCTGTTAACATCGTGTCTCCTCTCTCGGTCCCAGATGAGCCTTGGGAAGCAGTATAAGGAAGGGAAGCATCTAATCACCCTGAATATAAAACTGCAGTTAATAGAGATTATCAGCTTTGGGCAAGTGGATGAGGCTACCTAGTACAGTCATGACTGCCAGGGCTCCCTCTTCAGAAGTCATTCCCCATAATCACGTGAAGTGGTGCATGGGCTGTTCTGAGAGAGGGACAATTGTCATGAGCAGAGTAGATCCCCCAAAGATGCCTATTATACACTGTCATGGATTGAATTATGTACCCCAAAAAAGGTATGTATCAATTTGGCTGGGCCATGATTCCCAGTATTTTATGATTGTGTAACATTTTGTAATCTGATGTGATTTCCTTAGGTGTTGTAAATTCGATCACTATGATCTAATAAGATAGATTAGCGGCAGTTATACTGATGAGGTTTATAAGATTAGATAGTGTCTTAATCCAATCTCTTTTGAGATATAAAAGAGGAAAGCGAGCAGAGACACATAGGAACCTCACGCCACCAAGAAAGCCGTGCTGGGAGCAGAGCGCGTCCTTTGGACCTGAGATTCCTGTGCTGAGATGCTCCCAGACCAAGGGAAGGCTGATGCATCACAAGGACCTTCCTCCAGAGCCAACAGAGAGAGAAATCCTTCTCCTGGAGCTGATGCCCTGAGTTTGGACTTGCAGCCTACTGGACTGTGAGAGAATAAACTTCTCTTTGTTAAAGCCATCCATTTGTGGTATTTCTGTTATAGCAGCACTAGATGACTAAGACACACACCTACAATATAATGTGACTAATTACTCATGTAAGTTCCAGTTCCCAAATCTCCTACCGACCTACTCTGTGGCCTCAGACAAGTTCCCACCCTCTTGGGGCTGCAGTTTCTTCATTTATACACTGAGGAGGGAGGAACTAAAGGATCTTTTGGGTCCCTTAACTCTTTGGGATCTTGGGCCAATTACTTACCCTCAGTTTTCTCATCTGTACAGTGGGAGTAATGACATCCACCTTGCAGTTATTGAAAGACAGTGAGTATAAAATATCTAACATGGGTTGGGTACAGAGGAGTTCAAGAAATGCTAGAACTCTAGGAGATTTAAATCAGGGTGGCTGCCCAGCTCCCAGTGATTTCCCCCAAGGGTCATGGCCGTGGTGCCCCTTTGTCTTTGGGTGACTTACTCCTCCTCCAGGGGGAAGCTGCCATCCTCCACAGTGATTGTCAAGGATGAGCATGGGTTCCAAACCGGACTGCTCAGAGTCTTTCCCCAGTTTTTTTTCCCCCCAACTGCAGCTCTTTTTTCTCGATTGCAGAACTGTAAGAATGGGAGCATAGAGCTGCCAATAGCCAGGTCCTCAGCCTCATGGAGAATGTGGTCTGTAAAGTGAGGCTGACACGAAGATGTTTGAGTACTTGGTTGCAAACATCCCTGAGTCCAGTTTCATCCTTGCCCTGATTTGTAAGCCAGTAAATACCCCCTTGTTTTTAAGTTACAGTTGATATTCTGTCATTCGCAACCAAAGATTCCTGATAATACCTCCTTATTTTCCTTCCTAAGCCTCAGTTTCCTTATCTGTAAAATGATGGAGCTACCTCCTGCCTCCTTTCATCTCTGATGCTCAATTATTCTATTCATCAATTCATTCATTCAACCAATCAGTCAGTAAGCATTCACTGGGCATCTATTCTGCCCCTGGCCCAATGTTGAACATGGAATCTTGCTGGAGGAATAATTTGCATGCCCAGTCCTCAGGACTCACACAGTTAGGTGGTGGAGGGAGCTCAGCAAACATTCATTCCAGAGTGTGATAATGTCTGTGACAGAAGGAAGTACAGGAACTCTGGGGAAGCCAGAGAAAGAAACTAAACCCCGTTTGGAAGGCTTCCTGGAGGAGGTGGCATGAGCTGAGCTTTTCAGATGACGGGAGGGGTGGTGGAGAGAGGAGGAAGGGCAGGCATAAGAATCTACCTTTGTAAGAGCCGAAAGGAGATAGAGAGAAAGCAGCAGCTGGGGCCAGAGAGAAACAGAGACAGATTCAACTCTACTCTTCTTGAACTTATTTGTATTATCCACCCATGTAACTTCTGGAAAAAAAAAAAATCCCCTCCATTTTTTAAGCTCAGAAAATCCCTGGGGTGTAGTCTTTGAGTAGAGATGAAGTGACTCTTGACCACAGCAAAGCATTGGAGCAAATAATTCCTTCCCGATTAGGCTGCCCCATTGGTCCTCAGTCCCATCAGGGCAGCTGTGCTCGCAGTCATAAACAGCCGCCAGTCCTACGGCTGGCGGGCATGTCTAAAAATAGGAAGGCAGGCGAGCCTAACACCAACCAGACGGCGGAAGAGCAGCCCAGGCAGGCCTGGGAAGAGCGTCAACACTGCCCCGCTTGTAGGGAATATACTCATTACATTCTGAGCAGAGGCGGCTCACAAGCACCCCAGAGGAAACATGCAGTTATTGCTCCCAAACATGCCAAAGTTCTACTAATGACTGCAAGCCTGCTCCGAAGGCATAAACTCTTCCAGATGCTGCTTCCTGCCTCTGGGAGAGCCCTTCCTTCTTCCTGCCAGTGGCTCTAGCCTGTTTCTTGGGTTCTAGTCCTTTGGGAGATATTTGGTGTGCTGGGGGTCTTGGGGTGAATGATTGCTCTCTGTGGGCCACGTGGGGCAGGCCTGGGGACCCTTGCCTTAACAGATGGTTATGGAATCTATGCCTGCCGGCCTGCCTGCCTGCCTGGTGGGATGGGGGAGAGAAGGGTGCCAGGTGGGAGCCAGGAACCAGAGTTCTAGGTGACCTAGGGGAGAGGGAGGTGGGCTTTAAACTTGGGTGTTTCAGTTTCTGCATCTATCAAATGGAGATGAGTCTGCAGGGAAAGAACAGTTTGCAAACATGAAGCCCCAGACACTCTAGGGGATTGCTACCACTGGACAAGCACTGAAGCTTGGAATCTTCTTCCACCTGAATGACTCTAGGCAGCTCCCTCCACGTCTGTGAACCTCCATTCCCTCATCATAAACTAGGAATATTTTTTAAAATTGACTTTTTTTTTCCTGGGCAGAGAACTCATGCATACTTACTGGCTAGTTTTTGAATATTTAATCAACTCATTTTTTGAATAGATTATAAATGCACATGATTCTAAGTTAGAAAAAAATGCAAATGATACGGAGTTAAACTCTCTCTTGCTACTGTTTCATAACCACACAGCTCACTTCCCTCGAGGCAATCATTGTTAGCAGTGTCTTGTGTATTAAATATGCATACATTTAAAAAACTTTTTATGGAAGTATTAATATACATTCAGCAAGCACCACAGGAGCGCAGTTCAGGGAACGATCGTCATAGCTTTAGTTCCTAAAAAATAAAAATCACCCAAATCTATTACCTAGAAATAAAACTGTTTCTATTTTGGTGTATTTTCTCCCAGTTCTTTTTCTATGTACGTATATGTATGTAAACATCAGCGCCATACTGTATAACTTTTGTATCCTGTTTTTTTAATTTAACATTATATCAAGAACATTTCTTCATGTCATTAAAAAGGCCTCAAAAATACCCCTGGACTCTCTGTTAGCCCTAAACTAAAACCATTCCCAAAGCCAATCCTTCAGACAAAGATTAGACTGGACTGTAAGGCATAAAATGATACTCATGAAGAGTGTGCTTCTTAGCTCAAGTAGATACATGAGACTAACTGGGCAGCTCCTGTCCGGAGGCGAGATGAGAAGGCACAGAGGGTCAGGAGCTGGTTGAATGGACATGGGGAATCGGGTGGAAAGGAGGAGTGTGCTGTCACAGTATAGGGAGTGCAACTAGGGTCACATAGCAGTGTGTGTATCAAGTTTTATGTGAGAAACTAACTTAAACTGTAAACTTTCATTTACAGTACAAGAAAGAAAAGAAAAAAAAAAGTCCTCGAAAACAGTTCTTTTAATGTCTGCCTGATGTTCCAAGGGATGGATACCTTACTGCAGGATATTGGGTTTGATTTTTTCCCTATTATAAGTAACACAGTGATGACCATCCTTGGACATGCATCATTGAGCACATCTCTGATTATTCCCTCAAGATGAATTCCTAGACGGGGAATTTCTGAATCAAATAGTCTATCTCTTTCAGAACTCAGGATGGGATAAAATAGGGAGGGTTAGTCCTGACCCATAGAGTCACTGTGAGGATTAGAGATGTTACATAAGGATCTGGCCTCATGCTAGGCACAGACATAGAGCTCCATGGGTGTGAGCTTAAGGGGTCCCAGAGAGAGGATAGATAAGTGCCTACTCCCCCCACTACTCTTCCTTGGAGGTCCTGCCCTCTAGGCCTTCCCTCCCTGAAGCCTCCTAACTGAGCCACAGAGCAACATCTCAGTCGTGTCTGATCTTCATTATTTTATTCACTGGAGTCTCAACAAGTGGTGTGCTGGTAAATGTTTAACAACTGGATCTCTGGGGAGGGTGGGGGAAGAGGAAGCCCCGGTTTGTAAGGTTTGACAATTTCTGTGATATAAATGCTCCCAGTGTGGCCGATTTCAAACTACTAACATCATGTCATTGAAAACAGAGTTGGAATGAGATGCACAAAGTTGGCTCTCACAAGCTGGTCTGATCTGGCTCCAGCACACCATTCTGCTCTTCCTACCTGCCCAAGTCCCCCCACTCATCTCCCACCCTAGTGCTCATCCAAGATGTTAGAGGCTTAACATTTTGTGGGAGGTGAATGTTGCTAGAGACCAAAAACACCTTCTTCAATTCTATAAAGGAGAAACTGAGGCTTAAAGAGGTCAAGGTAATTGCCCAGGCTACCCAGCCCAATGGTCTTTCACAAGGTATTATTACCTGGCCTCTGCTTGGACACTTCTCAGAGTGGGAGCCAGTGCATCCTACTGTGGAACAACACTGCCTTTTCCACTCCACTCAACCTCTTTCTCTTCAGTGGCTTCTGTGCCCGGATCCATAGGAGGTTGGGTCCAAGGCGTTGACCTCAAGGAGCTGAGAACCAAGCACGAGAAGCAGACACACCTGAGCAGCTCATATATGGCAAAGAGGTGAGTGTTCCATAAGTCTTCCAAACTTCTCTCTTTTCTCTTTTCTTCCTTCCTAAAGGAACCGTGATTTTCAGTATCCATCCTCTTCCACACAGGGATCTGCTTCATGGGAAGGTGACCCACGCCCAGTTCAGGAAACTAGGTTCTGATTAGTCCTAGTCAAACATGTAATTAATTCCTCTTTGCCAGTGATTGGTTTAGGAATGGGCAAATGATCCTGTTCTGGCCAATGAGAGCTGAGGAGACATTTGGAGGGAAAGAAGGCTTTCCTCCCCTAAGAAACAGGCATAGAAAGAGACAACCTTTCTTCTTCTGAACACTTAGAACTCAGGTTTTGTAGTCTGGGTACTGTAATTATCTTACCGCCAGCCTGAAGATGAAGCCAACCCATGAGGGATAGCAGAGCCAAGAGAATCACAGAGAAGTGGAGCCAGAGCCCCACCGCCCTACTCTGACCTTGTTAGGAAGAAGATATATTCCCCTACAGCGTTAATCAGTTTGAGTTGAGGTTTTCTGTTACTTGAACCTGAAAACATCCTAAATGATAAAACCCCTCCAGTACACTGTCCACATTACAAATGCAGTGGTTATTATACAACAGGAATCTTATCAAGTCACTTCCTGATTCAAGTCCTTCGATGGCTTCTAGGATAAAGTCTTTGTTGAAAGTCTCTCTTCCTGCATAACACCTCACCTGTACCCACCCCACCCCCACCTTAATGTTAGCCCTTGAGGGTAGGACCCTTGGTCTTCATCATTAACTTCCTGGTACCTAGTATAGAGCAGGTGCTTAAGAAATACTGTTGAATAAATGCAGAGAAGTAGTTGGGGTGGGGGGGCTGAGGGGCTCAAAGCCCTAGGGTCTATTTTTGGCTTTGCACTGACTTGCTTTGGGACTTTAGGGAAGTCTCTCCGTGTCATGGATTGAATTGTGTCCCCCAAAAATATCTGTCAACTTGGCTGGGTCATGATTCCCAGTCTTGTATGATTGTGTACCATTATGCAATCTGATATGCTTTCTCTATGTGTTGTAAACTCTATCACTATGATGTAATAAGATGGATTAGTGGCAGTTATACTCATGAGGTCTATAAGATTAGATAGTGTCTTAAGCCAATCTCTTTGGAGATATGAAAGAGAGAAGTGAACAGAGACACATGGGGACCTCATACCACCAAGAAAGCAGTGCCAGGAGCAGAGTGTGTCCTTTGAACCTGAGGTTCCTGTGCAGAGAATCTCCCAGACCAAAGGAAGACTGATGACACGGACCTTCCTCCAGAGCTAACAGAGAAAGCGTTCCCCTGGAGCTGATGCCCTGAATTTAGACTTGTAGCCTACTGAACTGTGAGAGAATAAACTTCTCTTTGCTAAATCCATCCACTTGCGGTATTTCTGTTAGAGCAGCACTAGATGACTAAGACACTCCCCTTTCTGGGCCTCAGTGTCCAAAACTGTTAGGAAGGCATATTGGACAAGAGCAGTAGTTTAAGAATGGGGATTTTAAAAATACCTCCCAGCTACCCCATATGATAGTAGTTGTGCTTTTAGTATCCACTGATAGATTAAAAATCATGACAAAAACAAAAATGACTGCAAAGCTTTTAAATGTGCTTGTATTTATCAGTCATAGCAGCATCTACATCTGTTTGAAAAGCATTCGTACTGTGTGTGCGAGGGACACATCGTGCACTGAGTTTACAGACAGTGCTGGGTGCCACATGGCTTCCAGATGCCTTGCTTTAGCTAAGGAGTCTGTAGGTTGGGGATCGCTGCCTAGCTCATCTCAGAGTCCCTCAGGCACTAGGGGCTTATGTGTCTAACATGGGGCCACAGAGATTGTGCTACTTGCACAGGATCACACAGCAAATAAATGGTGGATCCAAACTGACTCTTCCCCAGCCTGGGTTTCCTTGGCCCAGTCAGCCTGGCTGACAGCACCACTCCCCCTCCACTTCCCTGGAAATGAGAAAAAGGGAGGCCCGAGAGCACTGGGATTGCTAAGGGTGCGGGGGTGAGGTCGATGTCAGAACGCTGAGAGCCCCAAATGACATGGAACATACTTCAGATGCCGGGTGTGTGGTTTAGGAGCGGCTGGAATTACACCCTCAGGGCTGAGCCAGCATTGTCTGCGCCTGAGCTGCGCCTGGACCCTGCTGAGGCAAGGACGGCATGGGGGGTCTCGGCCCAGGGCCACAGAGCTGAGTGGAGAGGCAGTGAGGGCAGGAGGCAGATTCCTACCTGGAAATCAGGCCTATCCAGACACGAGTTGTCATTCATTCCTTCCTTCCTTCATTCATTCTTTCAGTATGGTGGTCAGTCACTCAACAAATCCTCACTAAGCTGT